TTTAACTACAAGGGAATTGTCAAAGAAATTATATTTACAGTAACAATAAACTTTGTAGATTAAACTAGGATTGATCGTTCGATTTACTTTGTCAAATAGTGTTATCAACATTATGATGTAATTTTCACCTTCACGTAATAGTTGCATCTACAATGTTTATTGTTACCGTAATTATTATTTTTTTGACAATTCCCTTGTAATTGAAATTACCATTGAAATTTCTCTCAGTGCAGGAATTAAAACATGAGCAAATAATTTATTGCAATATGAAAATTAAACAGCCGATAAATCGGGGCATATAATTCTCATCCGTCGTATTGGTTATTGCAAAGAGAAAAATTATAAACAATTAATTAAAAACCGGAATATCAAATCTGACCGAAAAAGGTCATCAACACCAGTTCCTCCAGTTGAATAAAACATAGTTCACAATATTCATCGGGGAAATTCCCGAAAAAATATAATCAAAACTGAAAATTCCGAAGAGTACACTGACGCCAGAATTTTCGCCAACAATGAAATCCTGCTTAAAAAAAAAACCTTACTAATTTGAACCAAGTACTTGGATATCCCCGAGAAAGATAGCAAATGAGAAAAAAAAGAGGCCAGAGGAATCGGTCTCTAAACGCCTGGAGTGACGAGAGTCGAGTGATTATCTCGACGTAGGCTGCATTGGGGAAGGGAATGAGACCTCACCATCAATGTGTTTTGTTCACGTGTATAATGCGAGTGTGTGTAACCCTCCTGGCCGCCGGGCACTGAGAGAACTTGGGGTGGCAGCCTACTATAATGCCGTAAATGTCAGAAGCCGGAGGGGGGAAACTGCCGAAGAAGGCGCTGAAGTGAGGCAGTCGCTGTTCACCATTGTGTGAGAGAGACTTACAACGAGAATGAGTGGACGAGTGAGACAAAGCATAACGAGAGAGAAAAAAAAGGAAGGGACAAGAAATAGATATAAAAAGAGCACAAACAAGCCCTGAATTTTCGAACTACACTAGTTCTTTAATGCACTGACAATTGAGCCGGAAGTTTGTCATAAATACAGATGTCGTAATTGATTATTTTTACGACAATGATAACAATGGAGTTTGATGGAAGCATAAAGACACAAAAATAAACACAACAACATCATTATTTTGTTCAGCAAAACAGCGTGAAATGACGTGAGAGCAATTATTTTCGCTATTATTTACATCAGATACAATGGGTGAGCCCAATTGTCGCATAATCACGGGAAATACTCGACAATTTTTCATCGAAAACCGACCGTATGACGGTCAATCCGTCTTCACAGCCCTCCCGATGTGGAAAAAGCCGAGAGCAGGAGACAGATATCTACGAATTTCCTAGTGGCATTCCACTAGAGGTTTACAACGTCTCTGAGGGTCTCCTCAATGCCTGAGCGACTGGTTCTCGACAATTCAAGAGGAACAAACAGTGGACTAAACCGGGAGAGAAGCCGGCCGAAAAGGAAAGAAGGAGAAGGCAGGAGGGAGAGAACGGAGGAGTGAAAAGAAGACGGAAAAAAAATAAAACGAAAGCATAAAAAGAAGGCAAAAGACCGTGGCAAAAGTGTGTGTGTACACGCTCGACTTCTTCGGCTACGTTGGCTTTTCTTGTGTATTTCTGGCCGTTACGAATTACAACAAAACTTAATAATTAAGACTCATTTCCTGCCACTCCTCGCTTGCTTACATTATTTCTTCTGATCCAATTTTTCCGAATGTTCTTCGACACTCGTTTTTTATTTAGTCCAGTGCACTTTTGAGTTGACGAGGAATTGATGTTTTTCTCATTAAACAGGAGAATAACCATTTTTTTAAAATAATTTTTCTTCTCGTTTTTATTGAAAAATATATATTCAAAAAATACAACCAGAAGAACTTACGTTTCAATGATAAGTACTGCTGTAAAGTTAAATTTTGAATCTCGATGCAGGGTTTTTGATTAATTGAAGAAAATATATTGAATTTTTTTTTCTTTAATCTTTTTCTTTTCTTTCTTTCTTTAAAAAAATTACTGACGACTGGACTTGTTCACTTATCATTTCTAACATATACTATAGAAAATAATTACTTCTGATTGTAGGTAAATTATTATTTTGTTTATTCTCAATCAATCAACATTATCCTTCGACAAAAAAAAAAGAAAAATTTTGTTAGCTTGATAAGAAACATCGATGTTTGGGAGAAATAATCGAAAACCGATTAATCGTCCGTTCAAAACATCGAATGAAAAACATCGATGTTTGGGCATGAAAAATCGATGTTGTTCTCATTACACAGGAGAAAAAAATTTTTTGAAAATAATTTTTCTTCTCTTTTTCATTGAAAAATATATATTCCATTTACGTTTCAATGATAAGTACTGCTGTAAAGTTAAATTTTGAATCTCGAAACAGGGTTTTTGATTAATTGAAGAAAATATATTGAATATTTGTTTTTCTTCAATCTTTTTCTTTTCCTTCTTTCTTTAAAAAAATAACTGACGACTGGCCTTGTTCACTTATCATTTCTAACATATACTATAGAAAATAATTACTTGTGATTGCAGGTAAATTATTATTCTATTTATTCTCAATCAATCCACATTATTCTTCGACAAAGAAAATGAAAAATTTTGTTAACTTGGTAAGAAACATCGATGTTTGGGCATGAAAAATCGATGTTTTCGATTAATCGCAAGCCATCCCCAGTGAGGGGTTGGCTTTTCTCCTCAGTCTATATGCACACGGAGGGGTGATTTTTCCTGGGGTGAAGGGGCAGAGGGGGTAGATTCATGCAGAAGGGGTCCTGCTTCTTCTCTATCCTATCGTAATAAAACATGAAAGGAAAAGAGAAGCATTTGAGCATTGAGTGGAAGTAAGAGCACACTATAGTCAAGCTACAATACGGTTTAGGAGGGAACTCAGCAGGCATCAGGGGGGAGATGAAGTGAGACAATATTATGCGGTTGAGTCTGCATGTTGAACGGAGAGAGGAGCTTTAAATGCGAGAGACAGAGATGTTTGGTGGAGGTTGGGCGGAGCGACGAGGATGAAGCGAGGTTTCTCTGTGCCGTGCCGAGACTGCCAGCAGAATAGGGCAGGTAGAATTAGAGAATCGTCTCGCACTGTGTGGGTTTGAGAGAGACGGAGACGCTTGTCTGTGCACTGGTGTCGACAGCACAATTTTTGGAAAATTTTCTCATCGATAATGACGTTCGAAAAACGAGTCGTATTCTGGTTTCCGATGGTGAGGGGAAATTGGGAGGGGGGGGGGCTATTTTGGGAGGAAAAAACGATTATCGGAGGTGTGGAGTTGTTTTTTTTTTAATTTTTTCTCACGTGATTCACGTTTTGCTCGAGAACTTTGGGAAGTGGTGTTGAACAGTTGCAGTTGGATTGGAGTATTTGTGGGTATGGGCGATGGTTGTCAAATAGTCGAAAACATCGATTTTTCATGCCCAAACATCGATGTTTTTGACCAAGCTGACAAATTTTTAATTTTTTTGTCGAGTAATCATGTTGATTCATTGAGAATAAACAAAATAATAATTCATCCGCAATTAGAAGTAATTTTATTCTCTACAAGATTTACGTTATAAATGATATACATGGAATGAACAAGTCGTCTAGTGGCTTTTTAAATTAAAATTTTCAATAATTTAGCAGCGATGTGGCCAAACGGTTTAAGTCAAGTTAGTCGTTAGTTGAGTTTTCCAGAAATATTTCCGAATTTAAGGGAGATGGTGAAATTTTCGTAATGACCTTTTTTGTGGAGCAAATTGAGTGCTGCTAAAATGGTTATGAGAATAATTTTGCTATCTCCCTTAGATTTCGAGATATTCGAGAAACTGGCCAATAGCCAAATTCGAATTAAACCGTTTGACCACTTCGCTGCTGAATTATTGCAGCTAATGACCAGCCACGGAAAATATTCAATATTTTTTTTCGAAACGTAAGTTCGTCGGGTTCTATTTTCTCAATAAAAACGAAAAGAAAGAAAATCATCTGTAACAATTTGTTTTTTTCCTGCCTAATGAAAAAATATCGCCCATTCCTATTTATGGATGTGACTAACGTCCAGCCACAGAAAATATTCGATAAATTTTTATTCAATTGATCAACAACCCTATTTCGAGATTCAAAATACAACTCTCCAGCAGTACTTATCGTTCAAACGCAAGTTCCTCGAGTTGTATTTTTTAAATAGGGAAGGTTGGGGTAAAACGGACACGTTTGGCTTTTTTAAAAATGTTAATGAGGGGTTGAAATGTTGATAAAATTTAATAATTCTTTCTTCAATACAAAGAACAATTCTTTCCCTTTGTGACGAGCCTAAACTGAGCTCAATTGATCAATTTATTTCAGAGTTATGAATAATTTAAAAAAAGCCTAAAGTGTCCGTTTTATCCCACCCTCCCCTATATATTTTTCAGTGAAAACTATAAAAAAAAAATCTGTACAATTTGTATTTTTTTCCTGTCTAATGAAAAAATATCGCCCATTCCTATCTATGGATGTAACTAACGTCCAGCCACAGAAAATATTCAATAAATTTTTTTCAATTGATCAACAACCCTGTTTCGAGATTCAAAAATTAACTCTCAAGCAGTACTTATCATTGAAACGCAAGTTCCTCGAGTTGTATTTTTTTTAAATACATATTTTTCAATATTTTAAAACTTAAAGAAGTCTCCCCTTAATCCAATCACCACTCAACTAACAATTTACCGGTAAATTTCCGGATATTTACCGGTCTTGCTGGGGACTTCGACATGGCATCCGTAAAAATTGTTCAGTCAACATTCAACAATATCCGCCGTCTCCAATCTTTTCGGCATTTGTGGGTACCATTGTCACCGGTTTTCGACCGAGTGGGTCCCTGCGAGTCGACGCCACTGCTCACAGCCCATGTACCGGGCGACTCGTCGGCGCGGTTGGTTGTGTTCACGGGGCGCGGGGGAAGGGGAGGAGGACAGAGAACCCGCGATTCTTCAGTTAACGCCAAGCGCTCGGACTGGCGGCGTGTGAGAGCTCTTACAAGGATTTGTATTAAAACGCCACCAATTTATCAGTGATTTCGTGCTCTTTGTTCAGCGCATATTATTGGAATAAAATGTGTCAAATGTAAAGTGTTCACGGGCATTGGATGTACGCAGTAGGCCGTCAACGAGTGGTGAAACGAGTTCATATTCCCTGAATTACCGAGGATTATTGTTACTCTTAGATTGATATTTTCCCGGAGATTATACACTTCAACGCTCTGTGTGCTCTCAGTGCACCGACTCACTTGAATTCAGTGATCTATCCGTTTTTAATTCGTGCCTCGTGCACAGCCCATGCCAGTGCCGCATGTACGTGTTTAAGTGGTTCATTTACTCCGAGAAAAAGACAATTGTCCGTTCGGTGGTGAATAAAAGTGTGTGCAGTGGACCGGTAGTTGATAATCCGAGTGTTTCTTCGTCTTTGAGTCGGAGCTGGACGCGCCTCGACGAGGAAGAAAGGCGTGCTCCAACATACATTCAATGGTGATTACGTAGTGTATATTAAGTGATATTAAATCTCCCTCTGCCCCCAGTGGGGGGAGACCCTCAATCCCCGATAATGATTATTTCTCAGTTTTTCCCGGAATCTTCGCAGCCACTTTGTTTCATTGATTTCAACAACAACACATGTGATGAATAATTCCGCTTGCGTCGGTGCTCCCCCCCCCCGGGATTTGTTGTTTTTCGTAATCCCACTCGGTTTTTATTATTCGTCAATTTATATTTCGTTAACTCGCCACGAGATGGTGGAAGTTGGTGACGTGATTCAGTGAGCGCTTCCCGATATCCGGGGCCTGCTTCTCTTCACCACGTTTTTTCGTACGTCTGTATGTGTTAATACGTGCGCCCAGTGTTTATGGATCTCGTGTCTGTGTGTCAGTGTCGTGTTTCTTCGTCTCTCTCTCACTTTCATAACGGCACTACGGAGTATTGGGTGCTTCGCCCTCCCGTTCGCCCCCCTGCCGTCGTGTTCTCATCGTGCTGGCGCATGTGCGCAGGAGCCATCGCGCAATGTGTCTACGGGTCTCTCTCGCTCGCCGACTCGCACGACTCTACAACAGCTCCTGATACAGATTTGCTATTCGGAGTTTAATCATGTACGGGGGAGAGGATTTGTTTTAATGCTCCTATTGTGTACTTCATAATTAGGTATTTGAGGTTTTAGCATTTTTGGAGGTGGAGCTTGACTTTGGAAAAGTATTTCGATTTAGTTCAATGCGGAGTATATCGTTTTCTTTCTTTCGTATTACGGCTCAATCTAAACTACTTGGATATCACAATCAGGCGTCTGGGTATGACGGATAGCGTTGCACATGTGAAGAGACGAGATGATTTTTTCATCTGGATTTTTTTCAGATTTTATTTTCTATTGGCATCCATTTTGTGGAAAAACGGTGGAGAACATGAAGAAAACACAGTAGATTTGATTCTCATTCACCAACAAACTCTCCATATTTCAGCTAGTCAGTGAACGAGGCCATCAATCTATATTTTTTGACAAAAGGTACAATAGCTACTGATACAAATTTACTATTTGGAGTTTAATCCTGTACGGGGGAGAGGATTTGTTTTTATGCTTCTATTGTGTACGTCATAATTAGGTTTTGGAGGTTGAGCTTGAGTTTGGAAAACTATTTCGATTTAGTTCAATGCGGACTACATCGTTTTCTTTCTTTCGTATTACGGCTCAATCTGAACCACCTGGAAATCACAATCAGGCGTCTGGGTATGACGGATAGCATTGTACGTGTTGAAAAGACGAGATTATTTTTTTCATCTTGATTTTTCCTTTGCATATGCAATCATTCTACATTCGAGTTTACAACGCGATGCGTTTTTATCAGACCTGTATCATACTTCATTTTCTATTGGCATATGAATTTTGTGGAAAAAACTGTGAAAAAAACACATTAGATTTTACTCTCATTCACCAAATTCAGTGAGCGACATCATCATTCTATATTTTTTGACAAAAGGATACGTGAGGTTTTAGCATTTTCAGGGAGTTAGGCTCGATGATGAAACAATTCTCACTTAGTTCAATGTGCGTGGTACCTTTTTAAAAATTTTCGGCTGAATTTTCCGTGTCAAATATCGGAAATTTTTATCATGTTTAATTTTCACTGAAATTAATTCCATTGATGGATTGGAGAAATCAAGAAAATGGATTGGAAAATCAAGTATTTCATTGATTTTTTGTTCGGATAATCTGAAAATCAATGAAGTAATCAATGTAATGTTCAGTGGAATATGAATATTCAGAAACAAAATCACACGAGTTTTCAATTTTTCCTTGAATTTTCCTGATTTTTCCAAATTTTCATGGAATAAATGGATTGGAAAATCAAGTATTTCATTAATTTTCCATTAGAATAATCTCAAAATTAATGAAATACTTGATTTTCCAATCAATTTTTTCCATGAAAATCCGGAAAAATCAGGAAAATTCAAGAAAAAATTAAAAACTCGTGTCATTTTGTTTCTGAATATTCACATTCCACTGAAAATTCAATCAAGTTGTTAAATTACCGTCTCACTCTCCCTAAAAACTGGTGAATTTTCTTGAATTCTAATTAAAACTTGAAATTCTATAACCTTTTTTCCCCTAAATCGGATTCCATGTCACTCCCATAAAAATTACCACCATAGTTCCCATGAACATTCGAAGAATTTCTAACAGCGTATAGCATCAATCGCACTGTATCATTTTCTCTCTTTTGTATCACCTCCCACTCTGAATCACCTGGAAATCCCAATCAGGCTGGATACGACAAATAGCATTCCACATGTTTCAAATAACAAGATAATTTTTTTCATCTTGATTTATCCTTCACAAATGCAGTCATTCTCCATTCCAGTTTGCAAATCGACACGTTTTAACGTGACTCGTCGTATCATCCTTCATTTTATATTGGCATAAATTCAGTAGTGTCGACTTATATCCCAGGTGAGTTTTTGAGGAATATTTCCGAATCTAAGGGAGATAGCGAAATTTTCATAATTACATTTATTGTAGCACTTAATCGGCTCCACAAAAAAGGTTATAACAAAAATTTTGCTATCTCCCTCAGATTCCGAGATATTGATTTCAAAATGGTCAATAGTCAAAATTGATTCATCTCCCTTTACCACATCGTTACTGAATTGTGGAAAAACAGTGAAAAGATACATTAGATTTACCTCTCATTCCCCCCCAACCTCTCCACATTTCGTCCAGTCAGTGAACGAGTCCATGAATCGGTATTTCTCTGACAAAAGGATACGTGAATGCGATCAATCCTATTGTTAGAATATCTATGATCCCCCGATGTATCATATTCGCTGAAAATATGCCTCGGTTGAAGGAGGACGTCTTACATCTACTTACCATATTTACGTATACATCTATACTTTAAGCTCAAATGCTGAATGTATACATGTACATTCGTATTTTCCCATGGTGAGTGGCGTTGCAGCTGCCATCCACGCGATCGACTGAGCTTCTAGAGAGCCAGGGAAAACTACCTATAGCTGTTGAGTGTACCTCAGCTTTCTGCAAATGGATTTCGAGCATGAGAGCTTTTCTCGTTACTGAAACGTCGACTTTGATACACCAAAAGGCGTTGAATATCCACGATATATTCTCAATTCCATGATTATCCGTTGAATTCAGGGTTTAGTGCTGAGCTTTAACGATTGTCATGATGTGAAATGAGTATTTCAGTCTTTTCTTCAGTGAGTAGATGTCCAAGTTGTTAAAATAGAAGTGCAATTCACATTGGAGTGAATAAAACTTATAAAGTCTCATAGACGATCACTCGAATTGTCAAGATCGTTTGAATTCCCCCCTTGGAACTTTCTCATTTCGTCTCTCTTGTTCTATTAACTTTTTTTTCAACATTCAAGTTTTTTATGCATTATCGGCTATTACCGATGACTTTGTAACGTTCGTGCAGGCGTGGGTAACTCACTCCCTCTCGATTGGAATGGAGGGGAAACACGAGTAAATCGTAACGTTTTTTCCGTCATTTTTTGTCATTAGGAATAAACAACTGGCAGCGTATCGGGAGTTTTTTACAATCGGATATTTCCTTTCATGAGAAGAAGTCATCTTTTCAATATATTTTCCCCCTGGTGACCCCGAGGCTAATTGGGTTTAGCGCTTGCTCGTAATGAATTGCCTGATAAAAATTAATGAGCGTTGGACGCTCTTGGTCGCGTTAAAATTCTGGTTTAATAGAGCTTGGCGTGGCTTGTGGGGAATGAGAAAGATGAAAATCAATGCTTGGGGGAAAGGCGGGAGCGAGGAGGGGGGGGGAGATTGAATGCGGAGAAATATTTCTGTACTTGGCAAGAATTCCTGACGTCTACGGGAATATGATTTTGTCAAGGAATTTACGACCAGCGGTTTTATTTGGAGAATGCGTGGGCGTTACCAGCGTTTGCGGTCGGTATTGCTGATGCGTATTAAGGATATCCAAGTATTTTGGCTCCTTTTTCTCCAGTAAAATGCTTTTCTACTTTTGTAGTCAAACCTCAGAGCTTCCATTTGAGCCCCATTTGACCCTAAGTTTCCGAACATTTTACAGTTATTTTATTATTCAGACTTTGTTGGTCGGAATTTGAATCGAGACATTGAACCGTTAGACAACATTTTAAAAATCTGAAAATCCATTTGGGATCGTAACAAATTTATTTATATTCATAATTTTACCAGAAATCTATTTCATGCGTAAAGCAAGTGGGAAATTGCTCTTGTATTGCATAGGGTACAGTTATTTTTGCTAATAAATTAGCAAGATGCTTCCGAATGGTTTTTTTGCACATCATTTCCTTCTATCATGTATAATTCATTGTTTATTTCATTTTATTGGATTGAATGAGATTTCTTTTCAACTAATTTTGTCAGATTTTCAAATTAGTTGGATGTTATTATTATTATTATTATTATTATTATTATTATTATTATTATTATTATTATCCCTTTCTTCTATACAACCGATTCTTTTTTACGGTTCTATCTGTCCCCTCAGCCCTTCGCTAAAATGTTAATAGAAAAATTTTATTTACACATACTTGAATGAATTTGAAACATCACATTTGAAGAAACCATGAGAAAGCTCACTTTCAGGGAAATTCATGGAAAATTCGAATTTTTCAACAATCATCATAAAAATCAAATCAACCGATATAGCTATCGTAATCATCTTTTAACTTCGACTTAATGGCATTAAAACAAACATTTGAAGCTATCATTGAATTCATTTGAAGCATGATATTCAAAGATATCCCTGGAACTCTGATTTTCAAAAAATACAAAATTTTTGCAAATCTTCAAATAAATCAAAATAACGATTGTTGCTATTGCCTTCATCTTCGAACTCGGTCGAAAGGACATCCAAACGAATTTTTAAGCCATCATTCAATCAATTCAGAACATTTTTTTTGTTATCGTGGAACAACCGATTTTCGAAAAAAATCGAAAATTAAAAAAACTAATCGAT